GCACAGGGACTCAGGCTCAGAGGGACTCAGGCTCACAGGGACTCAGGCTCAGAGAGACTCAGGCTCAGACGGACTCAGGCTCAGAGGGACTCAGGCTCAGAGAGACTCAGGCTCAGAGGGACTCAGGCTCAGACGGACTCAGGCTCAGAGGGACTCAGGCTCACAGGGACTCAGGCTCAGAGGGACTCAGGCTCACAGGGACTCAGGCTCAGAGAGACTCAGGCTCACAGGGACTCAGGCTCAGAGGGACTCAGGCTCAGAGAGACTCAGGCTCAGAGGGACTCAGGCTCAGAGGGACTCAGGCTCACAGGGACTCAGGCTCAGAGGGACTCAGGCTCACAGGACTCAGGCTCAGGGGACTCAGGCTCAGAGGGACTCAGGCTCACAGGGACTCAGGCTCAGAGGGACTCAGGCTCAGAGAGACTCAGGCTCAGAGGGACTCAGGCTCACAGGGACTCAGGCTCAGAGGGACTCAGGCTCAGAGGGACTCAGGCTCACAGGGACTCAGGCTCAGAGGGACTCAGGCTCACAGGGACTCAGGCTCACAGGGACTCAGGCTCAGAGGGACTCAGGCTCACAGGGACTCAGGCTCAGAGGGACTCAGGCTCACAGGGACTCAGGCTCAGAGGGACTCAGGCTCAGAGAGACTCAGGCTCACAGGGACTCAGGCTCAGAGGGACTCAGGCTCACAGGGACTCAGGCTCACAGGGACTCAGGCTCAGAGAGACTCAGGCTCAGAGGGACTCAGGCTCAGAGAGACTCAGGCTCACAGGGACTCAGGCTCAGAGGGACTCAGGCTCAGAGGGACTCAGGCTCACAGGGACTCAGGCCCACAGGGACTCAGGCCCACAGGGACTCAGGCTCAGAGAGACTCAGGCTCAGACGGACTCAGGCTCACAGGGACTCAGGCTCAGAGGGACTCAGGCTCAGAGGGACTCAGGCTCAGAGGGACTCAGGCTCACAGGGACTCAGGCCCACAGGGACTCAGGCTCAGAGAGACTCAGGCTCAGAGGGACTCAGGCTCACAGGGACTCAGGCTCACAGGGACTCAGGCTCAGAGAGACTCAGGCTCAGAGGGACTCAGGCTCAGAGGGACTCAGGCCCACAGGGACTCAGGCTCACAGGGACTCAGGCTCAGAGGGACTCAGGCTCAGAGAGACTCAGGCTCAGACGGACTCAGGCTCACAGGGACTCAGGCTCAGAGGGACTCAGGCTCAGAGGACTCAGGCTCAGAGGGACTCAGGCTCAAGGGACTCAGGCTCAGAGAGACTCAGGCTCAGAGGGACTCAGGCTCAGAGGGACTCAGGCTCAGAGGGACTCAGGCTCAGAGGGACTCAGGCTCAGAGGGACTCAGGCTCAGAGGGACTCAGGCTCAGAGGGACTCAGGCTCACAGGGACTCAGGCTCAGAGGGACTCAGGCTCAGAGAGACTCAGGCTCAGAGGGACTCAGGCTCAGAGAGACTCGCTCAGAGAGACTCAGGCTCAGAGGGACTCAGGCTCAGAGGGACTCAGGCTCAGGGACTCAGGCTCAGAGGACTCAGGCTCAGAGGGACTCAGGCTCAGAGGGACTCAGGCTCAGAGGGACTCAGGCTCAGAGGGACTCAGGCTCAGAGGGACTCAGGCTCAGAGGGACTCAGCTCAGAGGACTCAGGCTCAGGGGACTCAGGCTCAGAGGGACTCAGGCTCAGAGGGACTCAGGCTCAGAGGGACTCAGGCTCAGAGGGACTCAGGCTCAGAGGGACTCAGGCTCACAGGGACTCAGGCTCAGAGAGACTCAGGCTCAGACGGACTCAGGCTCACAGGGACTCAGGCTCAGAGGGACTCAGGCTCAGAGGGACTCAGGCTCAGAGGGACTCAGGCTCAGAGGGACTCAGGCTCAGAGGGACTCAGGCTCAGAGGGACTCAGGCTCAGAGGGACTCAGGCTCAGAGGGACTCAGGCTCAGAGGGACTCAGGCTCAGAGGGACTCAGGCTCAGAGAGACTCAGGCTCAGAGAGACTCAGGCTCAGAGGGACTCAGGCTCACAGGGACTCAGGCTCACAGGGACTCAGGCTCACAGGGACTCAGGCTCAGAGGGACTCAGGCTCAGAGGGACTCAGGCTCAGAGGGACTCAGGCTCAGAGAGACTCAGGCTCACAGGGACTCCGGCTCAGACGGACTCAGGCTCAGAGGGACTCAGGCTCACAGGGACTCAGGCTCAGAGGGACTCAGGCTCAGAGGGACTCAGGCTCAGAGGGACTCAGGCTCAGAGGACTCAGGCTCACAGGGACTCAGGCTCAGAGGGACTCAGGCTCAGAGGACTCAGGCTCAGAGGGACTCAGGCTCAGAGGGACTCAGGCTCACAGGGACTCAGGCTCACAGGGACTCAGGCTCAGAGGGACTCAGGCTCAGAGGGACTCAGGCTCAGAGGGACTCAGGCTCAGAGGGACTCAGGCTCAGAGGGACTCAGGCTCACAGGGACTCAGGCTCAGAGGGACTCAGGCTCAGAGGGACTCAGGCTCAGAGGGACTCAGGCTCACAGGGACTCAGGCTCAGAGGGACTCAGGCTCAGAGAGACTCAGGCTCACAGGGACTCAGGCTCACAGGGACTCAGGCTCAGAGGGACTCAGGCTCACAGGGACTCAGGCTCAGAGGGACTCAGGCTCACAGGGACTCAGGCTCAGAGGGACTCAGGCTCAGAGGGACTCAGGCTCAGAGGGACTCAGGCTCACAGGGACTCAGGCTCACAGGGACTCAGGCTCAGAGGGACTCAGGCTCAGAGGGACTCAGGCTCAGAGGGTATTGGGTTCAATATCAGGTTTTGTGATGTTTTGTGATGTTTTGACCTTGACATGTTTCGACGGATACTTCTGACAGCGCCCTCTGCTGTCTATGTTTTTAACCTGGATTTAAACTTTGTGTAGACGCTTTTCTCACATTTTCAGGAAGACTGTCATATTTTAGTGACATAAATCTGAAACGCTACCTCCTCATGTTTAGTCCTGACTCTGGGACCAGCAGGAGGCCAGTCCCTGTGCTCCTCAGAGTCCCAGCAGGAGGCCAGTCCCTGTGCTCCTCAGAGTCCCAGCAGGAGGCCGGTCCCTGTGCTCCTCAGAGTCCCAGCAGGAGGCCAGTCCCTGTGCTCCTCAGAGTCCCAGCAGGAGGCCAGTCCCTGTGCTCCTCAGAGTCCCAGCAGGAGGCCAGTCCCTGTGCTCCTCAGAGTCCCAGCAGGAGTCCAGTCCCTGTGCTCCTCAGAGTCCCCAGCAGGAGGCCAGTCCCTGTGCTCCTCAGAGTCCCAGCAGGAGGCCAGTCCCTGTGCTCCTCAGAGTCCCAGCAGGAGTACAGTCCCTGTGCTCCTCAGAGTCCCCAGCAGGAGGCCAGTCCCTGTGCTCCTCAGAGTCCCAGCAGGAGTCCAGTCCCTGTGCTCCTCAGGAGTCCCAGCAGGAGTCCAGTCCCTGTGCTCCTCAGAGTCCCCAGCAGGAGGCCAGTCCCTGTGCTCCTCAGAGTCCCAGCAGGAGGCCTAGTCCTGTTGCTCATCAGAGTCCCAGCAGGAGGCCAGTCCCTGTGCTCCTCAGAGTCCCAGCAGGAGTCCATTCCCTGTGCTCCTCAGAGTCCCAGCAGGAGTCCAGTCCCTGTGCTCCTCAGTGTCCCAGCAGGAGGCCAGTCCCTGTGCTCCTCAGAGTCCCAGCAGGAGGCCAGTCCCTGTGCTCCTCAGAGTCCCAGCAGGAGTCCCAGTCCCTGTGCTCCTCAGAGTCCCAGCAGGAGTCCAGTCCCTGTGCTCCTCAGAGTCCCAGCAGGAGGCCAGTCCCTGTGCTCCTCAGGGTTCTTCCAGATGAACGTGTCAAAGGTCCGTGTCTTTAACGTTTGGAAGGAAACCAACATTTCATTTGTGTGTAAATAAATGTGTAACCACACATTTGTCATCTTTTGTTGCATCAATAATGAGGTCTTTGTTGTTACTAACTCTTTACAGAACTGATATGATTAGTTGTTGCTAACTTTAAAGAACGCTGCAGATGTGTTTAGTTGTTGCTAACTTTAAAGAACGCTGCAGATGTGTTTAGTTGTTGCTAACTTTAAAGAACGCTGCAGATGTGTTTAGTTGTTGCTAACTTTAAAGAACGCTGCAGATTTGTTTAGTTGTTGCAGTGACGCTAACCTCTTTCTGCCACAGAAGGTGCAGCCTCAGCTAAAAACAAAAGCAGAATTGTGGAAACGGAGACGGAAACATCTTTGTCTCGTCTCAAATGATGCAACTTTTGGAACAATAACAAAGTGTAGCAGAGCATTATCTAAACGTGCTTCGCTGACGGCCATGTTGGATAATAATGAAATATGGATCAGTTCCGTGGCCCAAACATTCTGAAGCTTCTGTACGGAAATATATGTTTATGAAAGATTCAGGAAATATATGTTTATGAAAGATTCAGGAAATATATGTTTATGAAAGATTCAGGAAATATATGTTTATGAAAGATATTAGAGAGAAAAGAATAGATTTGTGTGTGTCTTTGATGTTGTGCAGGACACGCCCCTTTGTGCCGGATTGTGTGTTCATGTTTTGCTCCTCTGTTGTCGGGTCCAAAAAGGGGAATTAGAATATTGAAAGAATGGGGACAGTCAATTTGTCACGGAGCAAAACAAAACACAGGAGATGTGTGTGTTTGTATAAATGTGTGTGTTCTTATAGATGTGTGTGTTCTTATAGATGTGTGTGTTTTTATAGATGTGTGTGTTATAGATGTGTGTGTTTTTATAGATGTGTGTGTTTTTATAGATGTGTGTGTGTTATAGATGTGTGTGTTATAGATGTGTGTGTTTTTATAGATGTGTGTGTTCTTATAGATGTGTGTGTTCTTATAGATGTGTGTGTTTTTATAGATGTGTGTGTTTTTATAGATGTGTGTGTTATAGATGTGTGTGTTTTTATAGATGTGTGTGTTATAGATGTGTGTGTTATAGATGTGTGTGTTCTTGTAGATGTGTGTGTTTTTTATAGATGTGTGTGTTATAGATGTGTGTGTTCTTGTAGATGTGTGTGTTATAGATGTGTGTGTTCTTATAGAGATGTGTGTGTTCTTGTAGATGTGTGTGTTATAGATGTGTGTGTTCTTGTAGATGTGTGTGTTTTTATAGATGTGTGTGTGTTTTTATAGATGTGTGTGTTCTTATAGATGTGTGTGTTATAGATGTGGGTGTTCTTATAGATGTGTGTGTTCTTATAGATGTGTGTGTTCTTATAGATGTGTGTGTTTTTATAGATGTGTGTGTTCTTATAGATGTGTGTGTTCTTGTAGATGTGTGTGTTATAGATGTGTGTGTTCTTGTAGATGTGTGTGTTTTTATAGATGTGTGTGTTATAGATGTGTGTGTTCTTGTAGATGTGTGTGTTATAGATGTGTGTGTTCTTATAGATGTGTGTGTTCTTGTAGATGTGTGTGTTATAGATGTGTGTGTTCTTGTAGATGTGTGTGTTTTTATAGATGTGTGTGTGTTATAGATGTGTGTGTTCTTATAGATGTGTGTTTTTATAGATGTGTGTGTTCTTATAGATGTGTGTGTTCTTATAGATGTGTGTGTGTTCTTATAGATGTGTGTGTTTTTATAGATGTGTGTGTTCTTATAGATGTGTGTGTTCTTATAGATGTGTGTGTTCTTATAGATGTGTGTGTTTTTTATAGATGTGTGTGTTCTTATAGATGTGTGTGTTCTTATAGATGTGTGTGTTTATAGATGTGTGTGTTTTTATAGATGTGTGTGTTTTTATAGATGTGTGTGTTTTTATAGATGTGTGTGTTTTTTATAGATGTGTGTATTCTTATAGATGTGTGTGTTATAGATGTGTGTGTTCTTATAGATGTGTGTGTTTATAGATGTGTGTGTTCTTATAGATGTGTGTGTTTTTATAGATGTGTGTGTTCTTATAGATGTGTGTGTTCTTATAGATGTGTGTGTTCTTATAGATGTGTGTGTTCTTATAGATGTGTGTGTTTTTATAGATGTGTGTGTTCTTATAGATGTGTGTGTTCTTGTAGATGTGTGTGTTATAGATGTGTGTGTTCTTGTAGATGTGTGTGTTTTTTTATAGATGTGTGTGTTATAGATGTGTGTGTTCTTGTAGATGTGTGTGTTATAGATGTGTGTGTTCTTATAGATGTGTGTGTTCTTGTAGATGTGTGTGTTATAGATGTGTGTGTTCTTGTAGATGTGTGTGTTTTTATAGATGTGTGTGTTTATAGATGTGTGTGTTCTTATAGATGTGTGTTTTTATAGATGTGTGTGTTCTTATAGATGTGTGTGTTCTTATAGATGTGTGTGTTCTTATAGATGTGTGTGTTTTTATAGATGTGTGTGTTCTTATAGATGTGTGTGTTCTTATAGATGTGTGTGTTCTTATAGATGTGTGTGTTTTTATAGATGTGTGTGTTCTTATAGATGTGTGTGTTCTTATAGATGTGTGTGTTATAGATGTGTGTGTTTTTATAGATGTGTGTGTTTTTATAGATGTGTGTGTTTTTATAGATGTGTGTGTTTTTATAGATGTGTGTATTCTTATAGATGTGTGTGTTATAGATGTGTGTGTTCTTATAGATGTGTGTGTTATAGATGTGTGTGTTCTTATAGATGTGTGTGTTTTTATAGATGTGTGTGTTCTTATAGATGTGTGTGTTCTTATAGATGTGTGTGTTCTTATAGATGTGTGTGTTTTTATAGATGTGTGTGTTCTTATAGATGTGTGTGTTCTTATAGATGTGTGTGTTCTTATAGATGTGTGTGTTCTTATAGATGTGTGTGTTTTTATAGATGTGTGTGTTCTTATAGATGTGTGTGTTCTTGTAGATGTGTGTGTTATAGATGTGTGTGTTCTTGTAGATGTGTGTGTTTTTATAGATGTGTGTGTTATAGATGTGTGTGTTCTTGTAGATGTGTGTGTTATAGATGTGTGTGTTCTTATAGATGTGTGTGTTCTTGTAGATGTGTGTGTTATAGATGTGTGTGTTCTTGTAGATGTGTGTGTTTTTATAGATGTGTGTGTTTATAGATGTGTGTGTTCTTATAGATGTGTGTGTTATAGATGTGGGTGTTCTTATAGATGTGTGTGTTCTTATAGATGTGTGTGTTTTTATAGATGTGTGTGTTCTTATAGATGTGTGTGTTCTTATAGATGTGTGTGTTCTTATAGATGTGTGTGTTCTTATAGATGTGTGTGTTTTTATAGATGTGTGTGTTCTTATAGATGTGTGTGTTCTTGTAGATGTGTGTGTTATAGATGTGTGTGTTCTTGTAGATGTGTGTGTTTTTATAGATGTGTGTGTTATAGATGTGTGTGTTCTTGTAGATGTGTGTGTTATAGATGTGTGTGTTCTTATAGATGTGTGTGTTCTTGTAGATGTGTGTGTTATAGATGTGTGTGTTCTTGTAGATGTGTGTGTTTTTATAGATGTGTGTGTTTATAGATGTGTGTGTTCTTATAGATGTGTGTGTTATAGATGTGGGTGTTCTTATAGATGTGTGTGTTCTTATAGATGTGTGTGTTATAGATGTGTGTGTTCTTGTAGATGTGTGTGTTTATAGATGTGTGTGTTCTTATAGATGTGTGTGTTATAGATGTGTGTGTTTTGACCTTTTTTTGTTCATGAGTAATTTAGTGCGTTTAAAACCTAGAAGTCAGATGAAAGAGAGAAACTTACAGGAGTGGGTTCATCCATCTTCTTCCCCTTAATCCATTTCTGGGTCGGGGGTGGCAGTCAGAGCTGCACCCAGTCCACAGAGCACCGGCCCCTCACTGATTCCACAGGAGCCTTGATCTTTCCGTTTAGACCAAGGACACAATGAC